CATGGCAAATAATGGATTTTGTAGCCTTTTGAAGTTTTTGTAAATTGAGAATGGAGACGAGTAAAAGAAGGAGAAATTGGAAGAAAAGAAGAATGAACAGAATACAGAGAACAGAGAGGAAGGAGAAATATAAAGGGGGGGGGGGAGACAACATCTATGAGAAACACAACTACTTCTTCCTAATTGTGTATTGTAAGCCAAAAGAAAGAATAAGAAACAAAGAAAAAGAAAAAAGAAAAAAAAATATGTGTACCAAAAGGAAAGGATAAGAAAGAAAGAAAGAAAAAAATAGTACAAAAGAAAAAAGAAAGAAGAAAAAATAGTACAAAAGAAAGAAAGAAAGAAGAAAAAAATAGTTACAAAAAGAAGGAGGAAGAAAGAAAGAAAGAAATAGAACAAAGAATCAGAAAGAAAGAAAAGAAAAAAAATAAAACGAGCCGCTAAGATGGCGATCATGGCGTCACGAATTAGTATCCATTTCTTTGTACTATATTTAAAAATTTTTTTTTTTTTTCGAAAAGGAGGATGAAAGGGTGACCTGGCACTAGAGGACACATCAGGTCTAGAAATGGCGCAGTTTTACGTTCAGAGATAGTTTTCAAGATTACTCGAAAGATCTTGAAACTTCTGTGTCATTCCTGTTCTTGTCGGAACTTCTTGGTCAGATAGCCCGGTCTCGCTTCGTACCGAACCAACTTTTCAATGTTTCAGAGGAAGCTTGCCTGCAGTTTCATGAGCGTCACAATTGTAAACGAGTCGACGTGGCTGACAAAACTGAGTGATGTTCTCTTATAATAATTACTGATTTTGTCGCTACATGAAAGATATAAACTACTGAGCCGCTGAATTATCTGGCGACAATAAGCATTTAACTGAATGATATTAATAGCTGTTATTCTTACAAGGTAATTTAGTGTTTTTATATTGGTATATACGCACCATCCTTGGGTTTGTTCGAAATCCCTTTACTATTATTCCAAATTTATTTTAAATTTTAAATCTTATTATTCTTATTTTATTCTGTTTTTATTATTGCACTTGTCTATTATGTTCTAAGACTATTAGTGTGAAAATATTATTATGAAACTCTATAAGGTATAACGAAACCGTTGCGTTCGCAAAGGTATCTTTGATCAATTAACCCAAATATGTTTGATGTATATATGTTTCATAACTTTCATCTGTTTAGCTCGAGTTTGACGTTGTTTTTGGGTGATGAAATTTTTATCTAATCATATTATTAAAGAAGGCTTCGGCAATTGATCTATTTACACTGATGATATACCATGAATATTTCCTTATAATATTACCATGATATATACACTATAATTTACCGTGTGAATTCTGTATATTTACAACTATAATCTACTATGATTGTAATAAATTCTTTTATGATATATTTTATATTATACAAAATATTAATTTATACTCTGAATATATATTTTTCTTTATCTCCCGTGACAAATGAAGTTTGTATCCAGTGGATATTTACACTGAGTAATAATCATGATATATCAATGGTTAATATATGCTACCATAATATATATACTTATCATACATAAATATAAAATAAATAAATAATATATAAAAATACAAAAAATAATAATATAATGAATGAAGTATATATATGATAATAACTTTTTTATATATACCCAGTTATTTACATATAATGATAAAGATATTCTACGCTATAATACACCATGAATATTTCTTTAAATTCACTATTGTACACCATAAATATTTACCTATAATATACAATGAATATTCCCTGCATATCGTGTATTCCTGACCCTGTGTAGGTGCGCTGCTATTCTGTTTTTGTGATCATTTTATTTTTGCACTCTATTTTTATCATTGAGACTGCCTGACCGCAGCAGACGAAAGAGAGAGACGAAAGAGAGGATGAGAGAGAGGAGAGAGAGAGAGCCCGGGGAGTCAGGAGGAAGGAGGAGAAGAGGAGCGGAGAGGAAAGAGAGAGAATAAGGGACGAGAAGACGAGGAGAGGAGAGAGATCAGAGAGAAGAGAGAGAGAGAGGAGAGAGAGGAAGAGAGAGAGAGACCGGAGAGTTGAAGGAGAGAAAAAGAGAACACCAGCCGTACCACACCCACAGGGGTCAGCAGAGAGATGGAAGGGAGGAAGAGGAAAGAGGGGAAGGGGGAGGGAAGGGAAAAAAAGGGGGAAGGGGACAAGAGGGGAAAGAGGAAGGGCGGGGAAAGAGACAAAGTAGAAAAGGAAGAAAGAGAAGAAAGACCAGGAAAGAGATGAAGAAAGAAGAAGAGAAAAGGGAAAAAGAGAAAGAGAAAGAGAAAGAAAAGAAAAAGAGAGAGTGAGAGAGAATCGAGACCAGAGAGACTAAAGACCGACCAAGACTCAGAAGCCAGACAAACAAAGACAAACTCCAACGAAGACGGAAAAACAAACAAAAACAACCATCACACACAAACAAAGACCAAAAAAAAAAAAAAAGACCCTCACCAGCTTAACAAAAAACAACACAACAACAAAAAAAAACCAAAACAAAAGAAACAAACAAAAGACCAAACGACAAAGTGGCCTCTCTTCCAGAACTAGTGACAGCCAAGTGATTCCGTGTCGACGAAAATGGAGGTAATATACCGAGGGAGAAGACCGCCCTGAGGAGGTGTCTCCCAGCGAGGGAGGTGAGGGAGTGAGGGAGGTAGAGGGAGAGGGTGATGGGAGGTGAGGTGAATGAGGTTAGGTGGGTTGATGGCGGGAGAGGGGAGGTGAGTGAGGGAGATGAGGGGAGGGGGAGGAGGGTGGTGATTAGGGTTAGGTGGGGGTGAGGGGGAGGAGGAGGGCGTGTGTGAAGGGTTAGTAGAGGGGAGGAGGAGGGGGAAGTGAGGAGGTGTAGTGGTGAGGGAAAGGGTAGAGTGGAGTGAGGGGAGGGGGACGGGATGGTTAGGGTGAAGATGAGGGCGATAATGATGAGGGAGATGGGGGGGGTAGAGTAGTGAAAAGAGGGGGGGGGGCTTGAGTGGGGAGGAGAGGTGTGTGGAGGGGAAGGGGATGGGGGAAATTGAGAGGGTGGTGCTGTTGAGATTCGGTGATGATGAAGGTTTTGCAAAGTGGTAGGTGATTGTGTTTGGTGATCAGGGGAGGGGTTTGTGGTGATAGAGTGTTTCGTGATGTTTGTGGGCGATGGCGTGAATGCAAGGTGATGTTGTAGAGTGATTGGTGATGAATGAGTAATGACAAAAGATGATGATGGTTGATGATTATGATTATGGTGGTGAAGATGGTGTGAATTCATGTTTATGGTGATGATGAAAAGTTGATATTGTGGATGATGATCTGATAGGTGGATGAGTGATGTATGATGGATGATGATCATGATAATGAAAAGGAATGATAGATAGTGATGATGATGATTGTGATATATGATGAATGCATGATTTGATGATTGATGGAGTGATTGATATCAATGTTGATGAAGATGGATGATACATGATAGAAAGGAATGATGAGATGATGATAGCTTTGATGAAAAGGATGATCTAATAATGATGACGATGACGACGACTCATGTCCCAAGCCCATCCTTCTCGCGGGGCAAGGCAAGCAGCCATGAATCAACACCACCATTTTAGCTATTTGCTTCTTTATTCCTAAATATAAAGTTGAAGCGCAGAACCCATACGGCGCGGGGCAGCTCTACCCTCGCCCTGACTCTGTATTGTCTTTCATCTATTCTGCTGCTGTCTCGTCTTTTCTCTCTGTTGCTCTGTCTGTCTGTCTGCGTTTTCTCTCTCTTCTCTCTCTCTCTGTCTGTCTGTCTGTCTGTCTGTCTCTCTCCTTTGTCGTCTCTCTCTGTTCTTTCTCTCCTCTCTCTCTCTGTCTGTCTCTCTCTCTTCTCTCTCTCTCTCTCTCTCTCTCTCTCTTCTCTCTCCTCTCATTCTCTCTCTCTGCTCTCGTTTATCTATCTACCTGCTTCTGTCTACCTTGCTATCTATCCATCTGATTGTCTATTTATCTAACTATATACCTACCTATCCAATCTGTATTTCTATCAAATTAGTGTGCCTATGTATCACTCTGGTCATTCTTTCTCCCCTTTCTCATACTTTCGCTTTCTGTCTGTCTGTCTATATAATCTGTTCGTCTGCCTGTCAATCTATCTGCCATTCTCTCTCTATATCTATTTGCTTTCTTTTGTCTGTCTGTCTCTATCTCGGTCTCTGTCTGCCTGTCTGTCTGTCTGTCTGTCTCTCTCTCTCTCTCTCTGTTTGTCTCTCTCTCTCCCTCTCTCTCTCTCTCTCCTCTCTCTCTCACTCTCTCTCTCTCTCTCTCTTTCTCTCTCTCTCTCTCTCTCTCTCTCCTCTTCTCTCCCTTCCCTCCTCCTCTCTCTCTCTCTCTCTCTCTCCTGTCTCTCTCCTTTCTCTCTCTCTCGCTTTCTCACTTTCTTTCTCGCTCGATACCGAATCCATTTTCACTTCCTTTGATCTTGCGAAATGTTCAAACAATTTAGAGCTTACCTTGTGAATGTTTGTAATTAGTTCATCTAAAAATAATTCCCCTCAAGACTGAGATCATTCTCCTTAAGACATCTTTGTTTTGCATACAGCCAACCTCCCTCTCCTTCTCTCTCTCTCTCTCTCTCTTCATCTCTCTCTCTCTCTCTCTCTCCCTCTCCTCTCTCTCTCTCTCTCTCTTCTCTCTCTCTCTCTCTCTCTCTCTCTCTCCTCTCTCTCTCTCTATCTGTCTATCTATCTCTGTGTCATTGTCTCTGCCTGTCTGTCTGTCTTTCTTTCTCTCCATCTTCCCTGCTCCTTCCTCTGTTTTCTCTCTCTCCTTTTCATGCTGTTTGGTTACGATTCTGTCTGTCCGTCTCTCTCTCTCTTTCTTCCCTCTTCCTTCCCTTCACTCTCTCCCCTCATTTATTACATCCTACCGACCTGTCTCGCTTCCCCACTTCTTCACAGCAATAAAACCCCTCCCCCTCTTCTCATTCTTCCTCCCTCCCTCCCTCTCTCTCTCTCTCTCTCTCTTTTATAGCCAAGTGAGAAGTCGACACACACACACACACATACAATACACACACACACACACACACACACGTACACACACACAACACACAACACACACACGTACACACACACACACACACACACACCACACGTACACACACACGCACACGCAGCCTATCAGCATAAAATCATTATATTACTTTGTAAATCATTACTATCAAAATCATTGTCATTATTACTACCGCGCGCGGACTCGGCCAGGTAAAGGAAGGAAGGAGGGACACATAAGGAAGGAAGGAAGGAGAGCGAGAAGCAAACGAAGGAAAGGAAGGAGGAAGGAGGACAAATAGGAAGGAAGAGGAAGGGATGCTGCTGTACCCTCAGCGTCAGTCGGATTCGCCGCTTCCTTGCCCTGTGCAGCTCCTGTCGAGCCTCGTGGCTTCCAGGGCTGCGGTGCGGGACATCTTGAGCAGCGGTAAGTGTCTCGGACTTTTTCTCTCTCTCTCTCTCTCTCTTCTCTCTCTCTCTCTCTCTCTCTCTCTCTCTCTCTCTCTCTCAAGGCCTCTAGCACTCGTCGTCATAGTATTTAATTTTTTTTCCCCCTAGTTGTTCTCATTTTTACCCTTCTTGACTCAATATTTTACTACTGTTATGGCCTTTGATGTTCTAGCACACTCACTTGTTTTAACCCAAATGTTCCGGTCGTCGGCTTATGCCGACGGCCGGCAAATACATATTTTTCCGGGCGTCGGCATGAGCCGACGATGATCTTCGACGGGTTCAGGACGGGACCGACCTGCCGTCGGCCATAGCCGACGGCGAAATTTTATCCTCGGCGTTCACATGGAGATGTGTTATCCCCCCTCCCTTCCCCCACTGCCGTACATGACAAAAGTTTCTTTTTTTTCTAACTGCAATTCACTAATCCGTGTGTTAGCAATAAGATCAGCTTCTCACCCTCCTCCCCACTGGCCCACCTGCAGGAGGGGAGGGAAGACCTCGGAGAGGAGTGGTGCTTAGCGCATTATGCCGTCACGGTCATTGACAATCAAAATTACCTGCTTTGACCAGTTATGTGACCTCTGTCAGGTGAGGCGCGTCCTACCTTTCCATATTCTGCTAAAAAGAATAAAAAGATAAAAATTGAAGCTATGGGGGAAAGGAGGCGGGGACACATCGGGAATCAGGGATGGTACGCACCAGGTGGGACGGAGAGGGAAGGGGGGAGGGAGGACCTCGGGATGTAGGAGGGGCGGGTTAGCATTAGGGGGGTCTGTGGGGGGAGGGGGAGAGGGAAGACCACGGGTAGGGTGACCCACGTTGACCAATGGCCAGGTGGGACGGAGAGGGAAGGGGTCACGTGACCTCTTGTCAGGTGGGGCAAAGGGGGAGGGAAGACCTCTGGCTGGAGGGGCCTCGCACCAGGTGGGACGGAGAGGGAAGGGGGGGAGGAGGACCTCGGGATGTAGGAGGGGCGGGTTTGCATTAGGTGGGTCTGTGGGGAGGGAGAGAGGGAAGACTACGGGTAGGGTGACCCACGTTGACCAATGGCCAGTGGGACGGAGAGGGAATGCACGTGACCTCTTGTCAGGTGGGGCGGGGAGGGAAGACCTTCTCAACTTCTTCTAAAAACTCGCATGAACTTTGGACCCTGACGACCCCAGACCATCAACTTCGGGAGAGGGCCCGAGACGGTTGAGGAATGCTCCGGAGTCTCACTTCTACCTCTATGAGACCGCGTCTGGTCGAGGAGAGATGAGGGAGGCTCTCGACTCCTCAGCCCAACCTGCCAACTCTGGACGATCCACCGCCATTCCCAACATCCCAGACTCCGACTGGGATATGGATGTTGACGATTCTGACGACGATGCCGACTACTCGCCGGAGGCAACGGAGAGCGACGCCGACTGGGAGGAGTTTGATTACGTGTCGTCGCATGACACGTCCATCGACTCCGACGAGCCGTTGTCAGCTGTTGCACGTCGGTTTGCTATGAGGAACGCTCCAGGGACTCCGGGTTTCGTCTGGAAGAAGAAGAGGCCTTTCGTGCGCCGTCACCCCTTCCAGGGCGTCCCAGGGGTCGAAGAAGCATGCCTCCTGCATGCCGACTCGACGCAAGAGAGATCTTGGACTGCTTCCTGACACCGGAATTGTGGGACACTATGACGAGGGAGACCAACCGGTATGTGGAGCAGAGGCCGGTCACCCCATCTTCACACATGAAGACTTGGGAGAATACGACTGTGGAGGAGCTGCAGTCATTCATTGGCCTCCGCCTGCTCATGGGCCTGCAGCCGCGACCGCATTCGCGGTATTATTGGTCGAAGAACCGGTTGCTTTCCTCGTCTGTGTTCCCTGAAACGATGACCAGGGATAGATTTGATTTACTGCAAAGTCGGCTTCACTTCTCGGACAACGAGGACCCCCGTGCCGACACCGACCGTCTGTGGAAGCTGCGACCGGTGTTGGATATCCTCGATACGACGTTCAAGACGGTCTATATCCCTGACAGGAAAATCGTGGTTGATGAGTCGCTGTGGGCGTTCAGGGGACGTCACCACGCGATTCAATTCAACCCGACGAAGAGGCGCGGTTCGGGATGAAGGTATATCGCCTGTGCGAGAGTGATGGTGCTGGTGCTGGCTACACCAGTGCCTTCAATGTCTACATGGGCCAGGACCGCGGCGACGTACCTGCCAGCAAGGCTGTGACCGACCTCATGAACCGCGCCTGCTTCTTCGAGAAGGGTTACGAGCTGTACTTGGACAACTGGTACAGCTCCCCGGAACTTTTCCATTACCTGTCATCAAGGAAGACGAACGCCGTGGGAACAGTTCGGCTGAACCGCAAGTTCATGCCGAAGGACCTCAAGGTGAGCGCCCGCGGCGACGTCGACTTCCGGACTTCGGCGACGGGGATGTTGGCTATGTCTTGGATGGATCGGAAGCCGGTGCATATGCTTTCTACCATCCACGGCCCAGACATGGTTGACCTGCCCCCAAACCGCCGTGGTATAGTCCGGACGAAGCCCCAAGCCGTCGTTGACTACAACGTGGGGAAGAAGGGGGTAGACCTTGCCGATCAGTTGGCCGCGTCGTACTCCACAACCAGACGAACTAACAAGTGGTACCAGAATGTGTTTTACCACTTGCTCGACATGGCGGCGGTGAATGCTTTCGTGGTTCACAGGGCGTTGGTGGCACCCTGACCCAGCTTGAGTTCCGCCTGGAGATCATAGCTAACTTCCTCGATCAACCTCCGGCCTACGGGAGAAGGGGTGGCCTTCGGACGCCTCCTGCTGCCACCCCATCGCCTCCTCGCCGCCGGAACGCCCCACGTCAGCAGCAGCGCCAGCAGGTACCACAGGGCCACGTCCTGGCTTTCAATCCAGGGCGAAAGTACCGCCGGTGTCGTCACTGCCGAGTAAGCCGCAACGTGAGGAAGGAGACGCGCTACAGGTGTGGCAGGTGTGATGTCTCACTGTGCCCGGCAGATTGCTTCAATCTGTGGCACAGCCCCCTGTAGCGAGGATGCGGCATCACCCACCTCTCCGATAGCAGCAGGCTATCGTTTTCGAAACAGCGCAGAAGATCCACGACGCCACATCCAGTGGCAAAAGGAAGATCCATGACGCTGCCTCCAGCAGCAGGAGGACCCCTCACGCCTCCAGCAGCAGGAGGATCTGCCAGCAGCAGAATCTTCACAGCAGCCTCTCACAGCAGCAGAAGGACCTCTCACGCCGCCTCCAGCAGCAGAAGGACCTCTCACGCCGCCTCCAGCAGCAGGATGATCTCTCACGCCGCAGCAGCAGAAGGACCTCTTCTCTCACGCCGCCACCAGCAGCAGAAGGACCTCTCACGCGCCACCAGCAGGAACCTCTCACGCCGCCTCCAGCAGCAGGATGATCTCTCACGCCGCCACCAGCAGCAGAAGGACCTCTCAGCCACCAGCAGCAGAAGGACCTCTCACACAGCAGCCTCCACGCCGCCTCCAGCAGCAGAAGGACCTCTCACGCCGCCACCAGCAGCAGAAGGACCTCTCACGCCGGCAGCAGAAGGACTCACGCCCAGCAGTGGAAGGCTCTCACGCCGCCTCCAGCAGCAGGATGATCTCTCACGCCGCCACCAGCAGCAGAAGGACCTCTCACGCCGCCACCAGCAGCAGAAGGACCTCTCACGCCGCCACCAGCAGCAGAAGGACCTCTCACGCCGCCACAGCAGTCTCTCACAGCAGCTCTTCTGACCTCTCACGCGCCACCAGCAGTGGAAGGACCTCTCACGCCGCCACCAGCAGCAGAAGGACCTCTCACGCCGCCACCAGCAGAGAAGGACCCCTCACGCCGCCACAAGCAGCAGGTGTGATGTCTCATTGTGCCCGGCAGATTGCTTCAATCTATGGCACAGCCCCCTGTAGCGAGGATGCAGCATCACCCATCTCTCCGATAGCAGCAGGCTATCGTTTTCGAAACAGCGTAGGAAGATCCACGACGCCACATCCAGTGGCAAAAGGAAGATCCATGACGCTGCCTCCAGCAGCAGGAGGAGCCGCCTCCAGCAGCAGGGCCCCCCGCCGCCACCAGCAGCAGAAGGACCTCTCACGCCGCCTCCAGCAGCAGAAGGACCTCTCACGCAGCAGGAGGATCTCTCACGTCGCCACCAGCAGCAGAAGGTCTCACGCCGCCACCAGCAGCAGAAGGACTCTCACGCCGCCACCAGCAGCAGAGGACCTCTGACCTATCAGAAGGACCTCAGCAGCAGAAGGACCTCTCACGCCCACCAGCAGCAGAAGGACCTCTCACGCCGCCACCAGCAGCATCTCTCACGCCGCACCAGCAGCAGAAGGTGACCTCTCACGCCGCCACCAGCAGCAGAAGGACCTATCACGCCACCACCAGCAGCAGAAGGACCTCTCACGCCACCACCAGCAGCAGAAGGAACAGCAGCGACCTCTCATGCCGCCTCCAGCAGCAGAAGGATCTCTCACGGCGCCACCAGCAGCAGAAGGACCTCTCACACCGCCACCAGCAGCAGAAGGACCTCTCACGCCGCCTCCAGCAGCAGGAGGATCTCTCACGCCGCCACCAGCAGCAGAAGGACCTCTCACGCCGCCACCAGCAGCAGAAGGACCTCTCACGCCGCCAGCAGCAGAAGGACACGCCGCCTCCAGCAGCAGGATGATCTCTCACGCCGCCACCAGCAGCAGAAGGACCTCTCACGCCGCCACCAGCAGTGGAAGGACCTCTCACGCCGCCACCAGCAGCAGAAGGACCTCTCTCTTGGAAGGACCTATCACGCAACCTCCAGCAGCAGGAGGATCTCTCTCTCTTAGTAGCAACAGGCTACCTCTGCTCCTTCCAATAGTAGTTCAATAAAAACAAATAAACAAACAAACAAAAATCTATGGTTTCCATCTCCAAATTCCATAGTCTGAAACCATGAATTTTGACAAGCCATAAAGCAATAATTGATGTTCATATTTTTCAGAGAAACATTATTTTCAAGAGTATGAACTCTGAATTACAAGATGAACATATAAATTTACAAAAAAAACAAAGCCAGTTTGCGTCCACACTTCTCCAAAGTTGTCCTTTTGAACAATAACAATAACAGAATTACAATAACAGAAAATAATTTCTGAAATTATTCTGAAATGCATGGACAAAATGACCTGAAAACAGCCGCTCTGCGTGAGCTAAAGGCGAAACCGCGGACGGCTCATTAAATCAGATATAACTCATTGGATCTCTGCTGAACCGCATTACTTGGATAACTGTGGTAATTCTAGAGCTAATACATGCCTTTGTAGTCTCCGACCGCGAGGGAGGAGCGCTTTTATTAGACAAAAACCCTCGGCAGCCGGTTCCCGCAAGGGGCAGGCCGCACACATCTTGGTGAATCAGAATAACTTTTGCCGAGCGCACGACCCCCCCGTAACCCGGGTTGGGTCGGCGCCGCGTCCTGCAGGCGTCTGCCTTATCAGCTCTCGATTGTAGGTTAAACGCCTACAATGGCTATCACGGGTAACGGGGAATCAGGGTTCGATTCCGGAGAGGGAGCCTGAGAAACGGCTACCACATCTAAGGAAGGCAGCAGGCGCGCAAATTATCCACTCCCGGCACGGGGAGGTAGTGACGAAAAATACTGTTGCGAGCCCCGAACGGGGCCTCGCAATTGGAATGAGTACACTTTAAATCCTTGTACGAGGATCGAGTGGAGGGCAAGTCTGGTGCCAGCCGCCGCGGTAATTCCAGCTCCACTAGCGTATATTAAAGTTGTTGCGGTTGAAACGCTCGTAGTTTGACTTCTGCTCCGGACCGGCCGGGAAACCCTGGTGGAGGTCGAAGCGTTTCTAACGTGCAAATCGATCGCCAGAGCTGAGTATAGGGGCGAAAGACCAATCCAACTATCTAGTAGCTGGTTCCCTCCGAAGTTTCCCTCAGGATAGCTGGCACTCGCATCGAACGAGTTCCATCCGGTAAAGCGAATGACTAGGGGTGTTGGGGACGAAAGAACCTACAATGTAATAGTCAGAAACTCCGTGCTGATGCTGACAGACGAAAACATTAAAAACATTCCTTACTGAAGTGCTAAATGACATTATAAACATAAATTCACTGAACAGCTACCTAACCGGAGACTAAATATCCATTATGCAGAACTCAAGCTCACAGGGCAGGACAATAAAACTTCTTTTTCTAACTTATTATTTTTATTAAAGGCTTTAGATCGATCCGCGCGACGCCAGTTAACACGTTGGCGCCATTGTTAATGTTCTTTATGTTATTCTACTTTTATGGAAATATACATTTATTAAGCGCATGTCAGCTGGCAAGTATCATTGTAAATATCATTTATTTTATTTTCCTATACATATGTATTTAATAAAAGTATGGCTCAGTTAACACGTTGGCACCGTTGTCAATATTATTTCTTTCTCTCTGTTTGTTCGTACACACACACACACATACACACAAAACACAATACACACACACACATACATACAAACACAAACACACACGCATACATACAAACACAAGCACACACATGCATACAAACACAACACACACATACAATCACAAACACACACACACAATCACAAACACACACACATGCAAACACAAACAAACAAACACACACACACATACAAGAACAAACACACACAACACATACACACACAAACACACACATAAACTCACACACACACATACACAAACACAAAGACACACACACACACACACACACACACAAAGACACACACACATTTCGATTAACAATCCCTTGATTCTATGACAAAAATTAACTTGTTCTTTTTAATATTCATCTGTTCGGAAGTGATGCACCAAAGGATGACATATATTCCCGAGTATTTTTCCAAATCCTTTTGCTAGCTGTTGTCATCTTTGAGGAAAGTATGGCTAAAAATATAATCGTGAACGTTGAAAAAAATAGATATCATAAAAAAGAAAAGAAAAAAAAAACTTGATGAAATAAAAAGGATATAAAAAGCACCACTTTTGACGATTAACCTGTATTCAATTTCATTCTATATATATATATATATATATATATATATATATATATATATATATATATATATATATATATATATATGTATGTGTGTGTGTGTGTGTGTGTGTGTGTGTATACATAGATATACAGATATTCACATTCATATACATATATGTGTAAATATAAAACGCTGGCTGTAGATAGAATGAAGAAGAAAAAATACATATATTGAAAAGTTTGAACAGAATCAGAAACCAAGAAGAAATAAGTTCTCAATCAAGTAGATTAGAGAACGGACTCAAATTCCAGAACTATTTTTCCAGTTTAATAACCCGAATGTCTGATGAGCTAGGCCATCGACCTTTCAATATATTTTTTTCCTTCTGCCGTAGACGTCAAAAAAGTGTGTGTGTGTACACGTGTGTGTACGGTTGTGTGTGTATGTGCGAGTGCGAGTGTGGGTGTGGGCGTTTGGCTTGGCTGGCGGTCCCCCCAAGCGCCCGCCAGGCTCCCGCTCCTGCCGGACGGGTGGAAGGCCCTGTCTCTGGTCGTGTTGCCTGCGGACCGCCGCCAACTATAGGGAGAGGCGGTTGGGTGCGGGGTTCGCGGGTGGCGGAGCGGGGCTGGGAGCGCGGGCCGCCGGAGCCGAGCGCCGCCCTTGGCCTGCTGTGTGGCGGCGGCCGCGCGTCTCCCACTCGGTCCTTTCCCCCGTGCCGCCGCCTGGCCTGAGCGAGCGAGCGGGGTTGGCGGGCGGGCGGGCGGTCCCCCCAAGCGCCCGCCAGGCTCCCGCTCCTGCCGGACGGATGGAAGGCCCTGTCTCTGGTCGTGTTGCCTGCGGGCCTGCGCCGCCAACTATAGGGAGAGGCGGTTGGGTGCGGGGTTCGCGGGTTGCGGAGCGGGGCTGGGAGCGCGGGCCACCGGAGCCGAGCGCCGCCCTTGGCCTGCTGTGTGGCGGCGGCCGCGCGTCTCCCACTCGGTCCTTTCCCCGTGCCGCCGCCTGGCCTGAGCGAGCGAGCGGGGTTGGCGGCGGGCGGGCGGTCCCCCCAAGCGCCCGCCAGGCTCCCGCTCCTGCCGGACGGATGGAAGGCCCTGTCTCTGGTCGTGTTGCCTGCGGGCCTGCGCC